ACCGAGAAGTTACACGACTGTACTTTTTTTACATATACTTATAGTTGTATCTTTTCTCGTCTCCTCGTTCCCACTTTAAATAGCTAATAGGTTTTATTTCTTATAGATCATTCAGTATCTTCTCTAGATTAGATCTTAGAATATCTCTCAGATCTTATGATCTGTTAGAAACAGCAATCAATCCTAAATGATAGATTTCTAGATTGCCTAACGTTATACAAAGTTCAATATCGAATTAAAATTGACAGACATAAGAAATGAATGTGATGGGTATGCGCTAGTAATTCGCAAACTCAAACTACGCGATGATTGGCAGTTGTTGTGGCCGCTGCCAACGCTTCGTCATAACTCCATTGACGCTCCTATCACTTACGAAAGTGGAGAGAAATCGAAACAAACTTCCATCCGCAATCGTAGACAACTGTTCGATCGGGAAGAATTTCATATCGGTTTCATCATATCATACTAATCATTATAAATGCGAAGTTTAAATGGATGGATGTTAGACTTTGTAACCTAAACGGTTGAACGGATTTTTTTAAGATTTGGTACAGATGTAGATGATTCTGGAAGAACACATAGGCTACTCGCTTTTGTTTTTTGAAATTCCACGCATCGTTTTATCGCACACCTGTTGTGCGATTGTCGATTGTTTCGCAGCCCATTCAACTGTTTCTTTGCACAATTAAACATCGAGTGTACGCTCTATTTAATCCCATATACAAAACATTTATAGATAATAATTCAAAATCTCGATCCTGTTTTGTTTAATTTTCGCTTCGCATTCTTGACAGTGTAATAGAGACGTATCAGTCAAGCCGAGTCGACTCGACTGCGAATTAGGACACGTGTCTTTTGTGTTACCTAAACATAGGAATTTTAAACAGAATTGACCTCGATTATTACTTTACCTGAGTCGTTAACACCAAAAGGGAAGTATGTTGCGTGTGTTTACTCAGTACTCTATTTTTAAAATGGGTTTTCTTTACCGTAACAGGTCACTTTGATTTAAAAACGTCTAACAAGAATGTCTGGATCGGTGAGAGAGGCAATTATGTCAATATAGTCCAGTCAGAAAATATATAAAACTTACTGAGACGTAGAAAAAAATATAGGTATTTTTCCACGCTATTAAACTTAGGGAGTACATAAATTGGATAAAAACCTTAATGTAGGAAAGGGACCATAAGCACAAGCTGCCAACATCAAGGAATTAAGATTGCCGTGGTTTGTGATCATGTCATGTCATTTTGACATTTGCAATTGATAATTTGACACATGTAAACAATAAAATGAAATTTTCACAATTTTATGCGGATGCCGCACGGGAACAGCTAGTTTATAAGATAAAAGTAGTCGAGCATGTCACCGCCTACGTAAATAAAACCGTATTAATTATTATTCGCCCACATTGGCTTCTCAATCAGAACTAATCTGCAGCTCGGCTCGAGTCATGTGATAGGGACGTTATCATTTAGTCTTTGCCAAGTTTACAGATTGCCGAATTCTATAGATTGAACATTTTGTTTACTTTTTTCATTACTTTGATTTGCAAGAGATAGTAACGACTACAGGACTAAAACTAGCATGCTGAAACGAAATGAATTTCGATTAGAGATATCGCTAGTGGAATTGACAGAATTTGTCAAAATGGATACGTCAAAGTAGTGACTTATCGAGCGTTTTTGTCAGTTTCAAATATTTCCGACTTTTAGAACAGTGGTCGTTAATCGAAGTTTACTTTGTCTAAAGGGCAAATTTGATTTAAGAATTAGTTTTGTGGACACAACTGATTTATGTTTAAAATATCATATGTGATTTGTCTAATGCTTCATCAAAATTCTGTTATTTCCTTATTTACATCTTGTAATATGTAATTTTTCTATATCGCTGTCAGTTGGGCGGTGTACCACGTGACGTCACGGCGCGTCACATTTGCGTAACGCGCGTCCATCCGCGTATTTATTTAAGGCGGCCATTTTGAAAATAGCCGACTTCATGTCGTGCATGTGTCAATTTATTTTTAGCGCCGGTGGAGTGGGTCACCTGTGAGGTGAGACATTTTTAACGTTCTGTATGTTTGTAAAGATTCTTGGCTTTTGAACTTTCATCAGTCATACTATATCTAAGTTGGCGATAACAAGGACATAGTCAACCATCTGTCTACGTGCGGGTTGCCACACATCTTTAAATTTCTTCGCAATGCATGTTGCATTGTTGCATTTTCTGTCTTACAACGAGTTGTTTTTTTGACCGACTTCCCAAAAAAAAGAAGGAGGTACTCACTTCGTCGATATGTTTTTTTTTTATGTGTGTTACGGCATAACTCCGCCGCTAGTGGACCGATTTGGATAATTCTTTTTTTATCCGAAAGGTAATGCTTGCAGGTGGGTCCCATTTTTTTGTTTAATTTTTTACCAATACAATTATATTAAAGAATAGATATTGGTCCTATGTTTTGTATTTATTGCGTGTAATGGTATCAATTTTGTAACATATCTAGCCGTTTGTTTCAATGTCAGATCATAATTAATGAACGTAACATTAATAGATTCTTGGAATGTGTTAGCAATTTTCGTTGTTCGTTGATTTATCTTCGAATTTTCACGTAGTTTTATAGAAGAGTAACAATAATTTTAACATTGAGAAACATTTAAATTAGAAGACTAATTGATAGTCGATTTCGGGAGTTCTACGCAGTTAAGTATGATAGTGTTAAATTATTAAGAAGGGAGTAACGAAATAACGGAATATAGATCGATTTGGAGGATTGTGACATGGTACGATTCAAAAAAGGACAGGCAGATGTTATTGTAGACAATTCAATGAATGAATAGACACAGATTATCGAAGTATTGAGAGCTTCACCGGCCACAGATTAGCTGAATATTTACCTATCAGCGGATAGCAAACGTAATTAGAATCACGCATACCGCTGCGGCCGCGTGGGCGACGCACTCCCGCCTATTTATACTAAACACATTCTGCAATGTGTAGTTTTAAACTAACATCAAATAAACTTAAATAAAAGACCCTTCATAACATAACCTAGACATTAACAACCTTCAAGGAATTTGATAGGAGATTTAATGTAATTTTCGTAAGATAACTATGACCTTTAGTTTCAAACCCGTCGAATTAACTTCAAGTTCAAGGTCATTCAGAGGGAAATGCATTCAACATTAGGAATAATGTCCCGGATTTCAAAAATAAACATAAATTGTAAAATTAAATTTATCTTCCACTTCAAGACAATTCTCAATACGAAAGCGCTACATATTGGAATAAACTTTCAGTGATATTTCATATTATTATCGCTGTTTGTTAGCAAAACTATAAAAACAACGTTCAACGTTCCCCAATACGCGAACGCACTCGTTTATCACAAAACTTCTTTGATGTAAACCATCACGGCGACAGATTTGATAACGACCTTCTAGAATTGAAGTTTTTTGAGCGTAAAATTATTAGAAAATTGTAAATATCAATTTAATAGAGCTATATGGACGAGGACTGGCAATAGACCAAGTTTCATAACCGTTGAAGTCTTACTAACTTATTAAAAAGTGAATATTTGAATCATATGTTTGTAACACATAACTCTAAAACTACATAACCGATCTGGATGAAATTTAGACCAAAGATAGATTACAGCTTGTTACATGACTTATGATAGTTTTTAAACCATTCGAATATAATCGGTAGCGCTAAAGAACTGAATACAGGAGTACAACCTACCCTAACGTCTGGCATAGCTATCCAAGCTGTGGATAATGAGGTTAAAGCGAAAATAACACTCAAAGACACATATCCCAGTCGAATCTATTTCTGACGACAATAACGAGAATATTATAGTCGCTGGAACTGAAATAAACTCGACTTCAGTTGCATGTCAACGAAAAGCACACGTTTGTTATCCTATTTTATACTGATAATAATAATTATGTGTATTAGTACAGATTTTTATTAATTTGATGAAATTTACATAGTTCGTTTACTAATTTTTAACTAACTTTCGCCAGCGACTCCTTCCGCGTTAAAAAACAATAACAATGACAACAATAACAACAATAATAAACTATCAAATCTTCTATTTATAATATTAAGGGCCTGTCCCACCACTGGCTGATAAAGGCTCAGATAGCTTAAAAATGACGTCACTGTCAGATAAGGGAATCCTATTTCCATCACATTTTACACGTTAGATTGTTAATAATTTACAATTCAGTTTAAAATAGTTATCAGGAACACACAGAATCTATAATAAGCCTTTCGTTAAAATCTAAAATTACCTTGAACCATAATATCTAAGCGGTTAACGTTGAAGAGGCTCGTTACATAAATTTAAAAGCTATTCGCACCACTAATAATTTCACAGTCATCGGTTGAAATTTATGTTTTATTGGCCAACAGTGTAATTGCTTTCGACGTTCAGTTCGTTGAGTAATTTCGTAATAGATATCTCACTTGAATAATTATGATGTAGTCCACGTAATAACGTATTTTGGGCTGTTAAATTGCCACGTAATATCGTAATATGATTATTCGATTGTAGTATATGCATTTAAAATAAGATTGATTTCATTATGTGCTCAAATATATGGAATCTCGAAAACATGTTTTTATAATAAGCAGATAATAACACACATATTTAACAATGGTAGAGTCCGCTTTAACATCTTCACACGAATGGCACGGCTCAAAAGAAGACAGGCGTGAAGTGGAAGCAATTTCGTGTTTTGTCAGATGAGTGGGTGTCTAATTGTAGGCCCTTTCCTTTCCCACCATTTTCTTATACGAAAAGAATGGGAAGGGAAAGTGTTGATGGTGGAGGAGACGCATTGAAAGGGGAAATATATTTATGTTCGTCTCCTCCGTTGATAAAGGGTAAGGAACGCAAAGACAGTCATCGCTTCGCTTTCTCGGATAAATCAGTCGGTCGCACGCTCGTTTGCCACCTTATAATAGTAAAAAACAATATCAGTGGCCATAGTATCTACCTTCAGGTATCTTGATGGTGGTGCCAAGGTTGATCTGCTGCAGACGGGCGAGAGCAGCTTGTTGCAGCGCGCGCCGCTCCACCTCGCTGAGTGCGAGTAACGAGGTATCGGCAAGTCGAACGCAGCGCCCACTGCCGTCTGTCCAGCAACAGCTGCCCTGCACAACGCGTCACGTCATCACACTGATAACATACTGATGCACTCACAGTCGATTTGACTAAACTATCGCACAACTGTTATGCGATTGTCGATTGTTTCGCCCATTCAACTGTTTAGTTGCATAACTAAAAATCGAGTAGTGTGCGCATCTTCCATATAAGCATAAATCTAAACAGGAGACTAAACAGTTATGCGATAGTTTAGTCAAAGATGTGCGCGCGCTCTTAATTTATTTCACACTTAGTAAGCTCTTTTATAAGCGAGTAAAGTTATCTTTATTCCAACAAATATTTGTAGTTCAACCGATGAACATAATTTGCTCAAATTTTCGTAAGATGTTTAGCAGACACCAAAAGAAAGATTAAGCACTAACTATTTAGTAATTGAAAAAACATCATTTATTTTGACAATATTTGGAATTACATCAGAGTGTTATGTACTAATCGTCCATATTATTTATATAGTTTTATTTATGTGGCTAGTTTTACGGTAATTTAGAACTCTTAATTATTCGGTTCATAAAATGTAATATTTTTATTATCATAACATTTGGCCGTCTATTGTTAAGTAGTAGAGTCCAAGAGACGCTTGGATCTCTGCCAATATGCATGGCATACATACGGGTTCAAATCTTGCCGGAAGAGATTGTGTATCGTGTGTTGAGACAGACGCTATCATAAAATTCACCAATGCCTGTTATCGATAATCAATCTATAACATAAAAAAGGTAAAAAAACACTTCTTTGTTATGTAGGATGTCAGTAATCACAGCATACTTTTGAATAAATATATTTTAATAAAAACTCTACACATAAGACTGTTTATTTTAGGAGGTGAATAACATGGAAAAATTATTATGCGAGAAAGGTACAAGAATGACAAGCCAATAGGAGCAAAGAAGCAAGGTTGCCATGGTAACGGAAATTGTTAGTTAATGGTGTTCGTTGTCATATATGACATATATTTTGACATTCGCAAATGAAAGTTTTTACGAGAACAGCTAGTAATCTAATCTCTAAACACAATTACGAAATACAGTGTTTTGTTTATGTTTTGTATGGTCGTTTTGATTCTATAGTTCGTCTATGTTTCAATGTTAAACTTACAAGTTTTTCGCGCTCTCTGTTGGAGAATAGATCAAGGAAATGTCGATTACCTGAAACTGTGAGATACGCGTACTTTAGAAATATATGATTTATTTAAAATAATTTACGTGATAATTATTGTTATCCTGAAACTAACATGACACAAATAAACTAAAACCAAAAGTAATCTCGTAAATTCTTGTATGTAAAAGAGTTTTTTTTACAAAAATTAAAAATTGGTTTAACAATGTCCACAAGAGAGACGGACGATAAATACGTAGGGTATTAAGGTCTTAAGGATTAGAAGTCTATACCAATATTATAAAGAGAAAATATTTGTGTTTTTTATATATATTGAAATAACTCAAAAACTACTGAGCCAATTTAAAAAATTCTTTCACCGTTAGAAATTTTATTTATTTGTGAGTAACATAGGTTATATTTTTAGGACAAAGTCGCGAGCAACAGCTTGTTAAGTATAAATCAATGAACAAAGGCTTAAACAATAAGTGAAGAAGTTAAGACATCGTTTTTGCTAGTTATTTTTATTTCCTTTCTTACATTATTTATCTGATAGTAAGAACATACAAATGCACGCATATACATAGTGATTATTGCTATGATTCACAGCAAGATCATAATATAGTATGTGTTTTGTCTGAGGCCGGCCCACGCTCTAGCTTCTGGGAACATGCGCGCGTTATGTTCAACAGATGTGTGTGAAAAGTTTTAGCATATACACTACGGTTGCTATGCTGTAGAAAGCATATCTTTGCTATTTTCCTTACTAAATATATAAAAATCTACTTTTTAAATTATATAAATTAGTAACTAAAGTGTGTTAAAACTATTAGGTAAAAGACTGTATGAAAATTAAAAAAAAAACTGTCTTGACCATGTAAACTCCCTGTCTGAATAAATTATTGTCAATGACATCTGATGAAGAGTAGACATTTTAGCTATGCTACGATGGTGCTACGATTATGCTACGATGGTACTACGATGAGTCTACGCCAGAAGAGGAAATGATGGGAAGGAAAAGTGTATTTAACGATGAAGGAGACGCATAGGAAATGTCCTCTTTATGTGCGTCTCCTCCGTCAATTAAGGGTAGGCAACGCATTTGCAATTGCAGATGTTAATGGGCAGCGGTCGCATTCTATTTCGATGGATTCAGGTGGCTGCTTATTCGTTTTCCACCTTATATTATAACAAAAAGAATTATCTATTGATCGTTAACGTTTTTTAAATATTCGCTGATCCCTTTTACGTTTCTTATCACTCTTATTCGTTTTAAAAAAGTGATATTACGTTGTAGTATAGTAGTAGGGCTTGTAAATTACGATCTCCAAGAAATTATAGTAAGTATTTCAAGGTTAGAAATTTAAACAAAAATGATTAAATATGTGATTTACGTTCGAACATAACAAAAAAATATATTTTTCTTGTAGGAAAACTAATGCGGTATGCGTAGATAGATTTAGAACGGAGTGAAATGCGATGTTCCTATGAAACGAAAACTCAGTTCAAGAAGATGTTTGCCAACAAATATGCGGAGTTAACTGATGTTAGTAATGTTATGGGAAATGTAGCATGACTTGCTGATTTACAGTTTTTGTGAAGGTTTAAAAACAATGGAAACACACTCTTATACTTCGTTTATTACGGAAGATTTACCTTATGAACGTGTTGAAAATAAATAATTACAGTTGCTAGTTGATTTAACCTGTAAAACTGTACTCGATGACAAAACTATTTACTAGATATTAAGAAAATTCTTTGTGCTATCAAATCACATTTATTAAGGAAAGTAATGGATTATTTAATAACGCGCCAGGATCCTTAAAGAACCTTCATCCTTATCATAATCCTCATAGATCCCGGAATCCTATAGCACTTGAAGATGACAAACGAAGGAGTATTAGTTGGTTCAAATTTTACATAACCCTGTTTTTCCTCAGAAGGCAACTGTTTGGAAGATTTTCTCTCCAACAGCAACAAGGGTCCTTAGCATGGCGTGTAAAACCACATATAAACGATTATTACGATATGTATAGAAAAATAAATAATCTCGTGTAAACAGAGTCCACAGGATTCCCTCTGTATAAACGGTCGAATTTTTTTATAAATTGCGCGCAAAAAATAAAAAATCATGTCAAAGACGTTTGGCAAATAATTGTCGCGCCAATTTCTCTGGAGGTTGATCGACGCAAATAAACTTCCTCGTATTTTGTAAACTTATTACAATGTAACTAGTTTTCGCAATACTAACGAATTTCAAACAATGTTTGTGGATTTTATTGACATTTATTATAAGTCGAGATGGCAAAGTGCCTAAGCGATTAGTGTTTTTTTATTAGAATTCAGATATATCTTACTTTGTAAACAAACAATGTGATCTAACTTCAAGTGAGTAAAGAAATAAAACTTTAACAGTCTTAAAATAAACGCAGCATAAAGTTAAACTTAGGAAAAAACTGGGTATAAGCAAAATTTGTACTTATATTTAAATGTAAAAGGGTACAGTAGGGTAGGTCTAGATGGATGGATTGCTTGACATGATCAAGAAGGGAGTAATGACTGAGATGACGGAAGATAGTCCTCCAGGACGAAAACTTCTTGCGAACCTATGTAGAGTGCGCTAAGGGCAGGCAGATGATGGAATAATAAATCGCATTGCTTACTTGTAAATAGTGATTATTATTGACAAGACTGTGTGTGATGTGAAATTAAAATTCTTTATATTTATGCACATTCGTATTGGTCAGTTCTTGCATTTATCTTTTAGTTCGACCCTCATTACAGATTTTCGATCTAAAAATTGTTCACGTATGTTTTCTTAAGTTTGCATGTTGTTTGAAAACGTCAGTACATTTGATTGATGTATTTCTAATCGGAATTCGTAGTCAATATGCAGGTGGCAATTTCTGTTTGAACATCAAACAATCGTAGAAACAGTGACTTTTTGTTTTTTTATCTTCCAGTGTACTGTTTAGTCTACATTGTGACTGAATGTGATTATCAACGTTTGTATTTTGTTTGTTTGTTTTGTCTGTGATTTTTGATTGAGGTGTGCAATATTGGACTTTAGTAATTATTTAATCAATACAGAATTTGTTGATTTCGCAATGTTAGTACAAGATTCGAGTTTTAATACGTAGTAATAACAAACGGAATAAGTGTCAAATTCTGTTCACATGTTTGTGGTATTTTATAAGTTAACTTTATTTGATAGTTTAATGGTACTTAAGCTGCACACAGTGTTAGAATACACAACACAAGAGAAATGTGAGTGTTTGTGATGCGATGTGACTGACCTGAGGCGCCCAGGCGGCGGCGGCGCGGCTGGAGGAGCG